TTATGCATTAGTGTTCTCATGTTTCTGAGGTTTTTAACACTCCTTTAAAGGAATCATCCAATACTGTAATTGTGACTGGGTACACAGTGAAGGTTAGTGATATTATCGTCATTGTGCACCATGTGGTTGGTTCTATTCTAATCCTGTATCTAAGATTTTCAACCTTCTGCTTTTGTTAATTCATCTGAGCCTGCCACATCTTGTAAATGATCCACTACTATGAATTTCATGTCTGCTTTTGCTTCTCATTCCCTCTTCCCATTGTGGATCAGGTAGTCCTACTTTCATCCTTTACTGCTTGGATTCTACATGTATATGTCTTTTATTTTCTCTTTCCTTGGCTTCCCTGTTGGGTGAGCCTTTTTTCACCTGAATCTTTCAATTTAGGGATCTCTTTTTTTTTACATTTACCTCTCTTCATCTCCTACTCAACTTCTTTGTTCATTTTCAACTTCATTTGAAGGCTTTCCATCACAACCTATTAGTTTTACTGGGACAACTTGCACACACCTGTTTTCCACCTTGTCCTTGATTTTCTTCCATTTTGGCTCACAAGGTTTCTCTCCTGGGGTTTCTCCTCTTTTGCTCCTTATCTTCTTGTTACTATTCATAGTTCTTTTTTTGAGAGCTGACTATTGCAAGTCTTGGAGGTGGTTTGTTTCTGGAGCCACCCATTGGCTTCAGTCCTTTGAGAGCCCTGCTTCCCATTTTGTCCTTTAAGGGATTCCTTTTGCCACAGTCTGTTGAGCTCCTTGGGTGCTTTCATGTGTGTTTTCCCTATACTTCTACTCTCCACCTCATGTGTTTTAAACACCAGGAAACACTTTCTGGAGTTAGCTACTGCTTCATCTTTTTTTTTGTTTGTTTGTTTTCATTGTGTCTAGTGTGTTTTTACTCACAGGTTACATTCTTGAGGTTAATTGTTCTATTATTCTATGGATGGTTTGCTTGTATTTACCCCTTCTAATTTGGCTTCCTCTTCCTCCAATCACTTTTGGCAGTTATGTCATTTGGTGTGGCAGGTTTGGCTCTCCATTTCAGTCTCAACCCCACCTAGTATTTCATTCACTGTGGAGTCTCTCTTACATTGTATATAGGGAAAGCTTAGCCTACTTCTTTGTCTTGGTGACATGGAACTGTAATGTCTCTTTCATTTCCTGCATGAATATGTTTTATGGACTATTCTTTCTTTTCAGTCCCTCTTTCATCTTGTATATGCTCATATGTGGATGTGCTTCAATGGTTTCTTGCCTGTCAATGCAAATGTCTTTTCACCACTTATGATTCTGGTAGCTCATTCAATCCACCATGAGCCTGGATGCCCCTCTTCCTCCACCTTTCCAGACTTGCATCTGTTTGGAGCCCTCCAGGGCTCAGAAGACAAGCTGTGGACTTCTTCTGCTTATATATGTAGGTTTTCATATCAATAGTAAGTGTAGCACAGGTGGCACTTTGTGTTGAGTTTGTGCTTAATGACAACCAATCTTCTGACCATACCTTTCCACTGCCTCTTTTCTGGTTGGTTGCAGTTCTGGATGCCTGATCCATTTCAAACATCTGTTCTCAAGAGTAGATGTTCCTTTGTTTCTACATCCTTGAGCTGTGACTACTCTGTAGGCTTGTTATCATCTTCTGTCTTGTCTGTCTGGTTTTATTATTATGATCTATCCAGACATTTTTTTTATTGTTTCTTCCATCCCTCGATAGGAAGACCCTTACTACTGGGACCTCTGTTGTTGTTATTTTTTTTACTCTGGACTTTCTCTTTTGGGCTCATGACTATCACGCTCAGTTATAGATTTATTACGTTTGAAAGTTCAGGCTCTTGTGGCAGATTGACTATTTTCCCTAGACTTGGACCCTTTCCATAAAGTAGATTCTCCATCCCCTGTTGTTTTCAGATTTGCTTCCACTATGGGCATCCTATCATCACTGCCTTGGCACATATCCTTCACTTCTTAATTGCATTCATTTGGTATCCAACCCCAAACTCCACAGCTCTGGCTGGAGATGCTTTGTGACTGGTGTGGTTCAACCTCCTTTCATATGCTTTGGACATGTTCTTCCCCTTCTCCCTTTTTGAAGCCGCCACTCACTTTTGTTTTGACCTCCTCCAACACTAGTACAAAACCAAGTGGATATGCCCATTGTTTTGAAAGTTGGGCTAGGGAGTTACCTGGTAGTGTTGTACAGGATACCTTACTGTATTATGATCCAAGCTATTTCTGGTGATTTGGTGGAGCCAAATTAGTCTTGATTTCACAATGGGACACAGGCCGGGAATGCTTCTCCCTGCACCTGATTATCATGGTGAAAGGCTCATGTATATGGAATGACCCAATTATAGCTAATCTTCCTGACTGTGAGATAATGGATGGTTGAACAATCTTGCATTTTGTCCTCCTTCGTGACACTTTAGCTTCATACAAATTATTCTTATGAAACTTTGGTTTGCGCTACCTCCTCTTCTAACAGTAAATATTACAATAACATTGGTCAAGGAGTATTCCTTGCTTGAGATGTGTGTGTGGTCTTTCACCAAGTGCTGCTCCAACATGCTATTTCCTGCCTTGTGGATGTTGTATTCCATGGGCTCTCCCTTTTTGACACTGTTTTCAAAAAAAGATAAAATTTTTGTTATGTGTCTGCACCATATCCTCCCCCCAGTCTGGGATTCTAGCTTTTTGTTGTGCAGGGAGGTGAATAGCTTTTCTGAAGTTAATACTTCCCTTTCCTGAAACTGTATTTCAGATAGATACTCACCACTTTGCATTGCCTTTCATTCTTCCTTCCCACTTGTAGTACATTTAGTTTACCTTATCAAGAATGAAACTTTGTTCAAATGCTGGTTCTACTGTGCATAAAGGATGTGCTGCACTCCTTTTTGTGGAAGGCTATTGGCTAATGATGATTACATCATAGGCTGGCACAATACCTGTTATGAAGTATAGAAGTGGAAACTTTGTTCAAGACTTGGGGCATGTGCAGGAGATTACATGGCAGTACACACAAGGCAGTAACTCTTTGTAGTGCATAGAGGATAATATCTATCTGAAATACATTTTCAGGTAAGGAAAATGTTAACATCAGCTACACATGGCCTAAATAAAGCTATTTCTGTTTCTTGAAGAATGTTTATATTGCTAATTTGTTTACCACAAAAAGTATGTTATTGTTCAGTAAAAGCTTATGTGAAAATCATTTATCATTTACACGAATCTCACTTTAATTATGGTTTACTATATGTATCCATGTTTCTTACAGTTTTCTGTTTTCACAGTCTGTCATTCAGAGACCTAACACTATTTTATTTGTGGAGAAAACTAACCTCTATTAACACATACATAAGCTTGAGGATTAAACTAAAGTACCTGTAAACAGAGAGGACATTTTTTTTTTTTTTAATTTATTAACTTGTGCAGAAAAAACTTCACATGATTTTTGTTGAATATTAGATAATACATTTATTTCAATTTGCAAAGTATGTTATATTTTTCTTTTCCAAAACCTATACATGTATAATGCAACATAAAATACTAACTTTTTTAATTATTAAATATATTAGGATATAGTGACATGTGCTGTATTCAACAATTTATCTTCACGGTTCTTGGGATTTGGCTGTAAATCTGGAAACATCATCATCTGGGACCTGAAGTCTCAAAAAGCTAGGAGGTCATATCTGGTAAGTTTTTAGTCATGGATTATTTCTATATTTCAAGAATACTTACAGCATATTATATCTCGACTTTGCTATAACACTTCTCAGTATCATGTGAAGACATTCTAAAGGATATGTGTAATCCATAAGCTTTTTAGGGGTGGGATGGTACATAACCAGTTTTACATGCAGCCTGTGTATATGTATGGTGTTTATAATTGTTTTTTACTCACTATAGTAAGTCTATATTTGTATGAGATATAAAGGACATGTAATGTTGATGCTACTAGATTATTCAGTATATAAGCTGTTTATGACATTAAAAATAAATATGAAAACCAATCTGTAATTTAATTCTCAACTTGTCCGGAGTCACACCAGTTTTGGGGGATTTCATCCCTCATAAATTATGGACAAGAGCAACTTGAAACAACAAGGCCAGTGTTATTTTTCAATATGCCCTTGTGCAGAGTTACAAATGAGGGGTACAATTCCCCAAAACTGGTATAACTCATTAACAAGTGATGAATTGAATGATAGATTGGGCTTCAAATTTAGTTTTAGTAACCTGTGTATAATTTGAACCACTGCTGCATTCAACACACAAAAATCGATGTATATCAGTGTTTTGTTTAATATTTACTTTTAAATTAAGAAATT